GGTTGGGGTCAGGGGCGGCTGTGGTGCTGGGGGACGACGAGGCTGATGAGCTGGTCGAGGAGGCAGCTGCTGACCTGGAAGAGGAAGCTGCCGCCTCGGCCGCCGCCGGCAGCGACCCCATGGTCGGCCCCAACGGCCGCCACCGCCACCGCGGCGGCGGCTGCGGCTTCGGCGTCGCTGGGGGCACGGAGCGCGGCCACCAGTGGCACGGCGAGCAGCTGGTCAAGGCGGTGCTGGCCAAGTCTGGGGAGGCGGGGCTGCACGACATGGCGCGGCGCTTCAGGCTGGCCTTTGTGGACGCGTGCCGGCCGCGGTACCTGCCCCAGGGCTGGAGCGTGGAGGCCGTGCTTGAGCGCGGGTTCGGGTCTTTCAGTACCTACAGGGAAGACGCAGCCGCGGCGGCGTCGGCAGCAGGAGCCCCCGCCACGGGCGATGCTGGGGCGACGGTCGCAGCGGCAGTTGGGGCAGCAGCGGCAACGGTGGCAGGGCAGGGGGTGGCAACCAGCACGGTAGTCCCAGCCGCCGTGTCAGCACAGATTGGGGCTACAACAGCAGCAGCAGCACCAGGACCCCCAGTAGCAGCAGCAGCAGCAGCAGCAGTAGCAGCAGTGCCCGTCAGCGGCAAAGCCATGGCCTTGCCCACCACTGCAGCCCAGGCGGCACGAGCGGCGGGCCCACAGCGCGCCCCCACAGCAGCGGCCTCCTCGGGCTCGGCCGAGGGGGTGTTTGAGGAAGCGCGCTGCGCCATGGCGTCCTGCGACGGCATGCAGCTTGCAATGGCGTGAAGAAAAACACGAGGTCTTTGCGCACATACACACACACTCGTGTTGTTGTGAACAGTTTTGTTGCCTGGGAATTACGCAGCAGCAGGTGCAGTCCAGCTGCGTCACGCTGCACAGCGAGGCACGTCCCCGACCGCCGCCTAGCAGGATTCATGATTACAAGCTAAACAATTGTCGGCTGCTTTCAACGACCAAACGGATGCGCAGCTTTTGTTTCTTCAACCACTTGCTCTCACTGCTGCGGTCTCCTCATGGGCTGCATTCATGTGTACTTGCGTCACATTTTGCGTGTGTGCCGCCATCAGCGTGACTGGGCGCTGGCTGTGTAACCGCATGGACAACACAGCATCTGCCTTGCCCGCAGGAGCCCTTGTCCCTATTGCAGCACCGCCCCTCTGGTCTGTTGAGAGCGTGCGCCTTGTTGAGCACCCAGGGTACTGTAACATCCAGCACCCTATCCTTTTTAAGCAGTTGGCGGCCTGAATGCACCACACGCGGCGTGAGACGCCTGATGGGGTCGCGCCTGCTCCGCCTGCCAGGGTAGTGTGCGGGCTGTTGACGCTTCAAAGGAACCTGCCGCCTTGCGGCCGGCCTGGTCACGTGAATCGCTGGGGGCAGCTAAAGGGCACGGCGTTACAGTTAGAGGCTATCCAATGCCTCGCCTCTTGGTCACAGGGGCAAGGGGGGGGGGCGCTGTTGGCGGAGAACAAAGCGCAGCAAGCCAACAGGCAAGAGGAACAAACATTGCAGTGAGAGAAAAGGCACGAGCGGGGCTATCGGGTTTCCTTGGGGCCTGCACCAAGCCTGGTGGAGGGGCGTGCGCGCCACTACAAGTGGAGGGGTTGCTTGATTGCAGGATCTCTGGCCGGCGGGCGAAAATTGCGAAGGCAAGCACCAAGCCACCCTGGGGAGGAACTACCAACGCTCATGGTGCGTATTCGACGTGAGATGGAGAATAGGGGCACGGTTGCAAAGCGTGTCCCTGAATTTTGAGATGCATAGCAGGTGTGCCCGTGTGCCGACAGCTTAGGATGACGGATCAGCAAGAGTGGCCGCAAGTAGCGCCGGCAGCGGCGGACCTGCTGCCCCCGTGTGGTGCGTGTGAAGGTTGTGTTATGCGTCGCGTCGTGTGGCCGTGGCAAACCCGACGGTTGCTTGCAGGTTCTTCCCCAGATTCATGCTCTCGCGCAAATCATTGCAAGTAAAACTGCTCATGTATTGGATGGGCGAGACCGCCGGCGTGGGACCACCACATCACACGGCGTCCGCCGCCGCAGGCGCCGCCGCGGGCGCCGGCCTCCGCTCCGCGACGAGCTTCGCCACCTCAGCTTTCACGCGGCCCTTGAAGCGGCGAGTCAGCCAGTGCTGCGCCGCGATGGCCAGCACCAGGGGGGTTATGCCCAGCGCCACGTCCAGGGCCACGTACGCTGAGTCGTTGGGGCCGGACAGGATGAGTAACAGGACGTACGCCTGCGGGCATGGTGGTGGGGTGAGGTGGGGTTTGGGGGTGAATGGAGGGTGCGAATGTGGGTGGCTTGTGTGCGTGAGCTCAGCGCCAGGCTGGGAGCTGGGGGGTAATGGGGGGAATGTGTG